AGCGCGCGGTCGACGCCGAACAATGTCGCGGCGGAATGCCCCACTTCAGAACGAGGGCGAAGCTCGACTTCGGCGATGCTGCCGTCGCGACGCACGCGCTCCGTCAGAGCGACCAGCCACGCCGCAATCCCTACGTCAAATAGATACGTATGTAAAATACCCCGCCTTCGCGCCTCCCGCAATTGCGGCACCCCTTCCATCTCGCCACGCCGCTCGCCCGTCGGTGTCCATCTCCACATCGCACCCCTCGCCCACCGCGCCGCCGGCGACGTGCCTCTTCGCGACGTCTACGCTGAGTACAGGAGGTCAGCATCCCGCACCGCATCCGCTTGCTGGAACGATGCACTCGCCTCTCGGAATGCCCAGCTGGCAGCAAGCGAACGGGCACCGTCCCCATCGGTGAATCCTGCCGCCGTGAGCAGCCTACTGCCATCCAGACACGAGGGAGACACTCACCGTCGAGTTTCCTGACGTCCTAGCCATCCCCCAGGATCCCTCATCGTGCGGGCAAGGTGCTGCCAACGCAAGAACGCGCGGGCACGACGGTAACGTGCGTACATCGTGTCGTGAGAGGTGCACTGCGGGACCGGATCGGTGAGTACCTCGTCGTCGACAGCCGAGGACGACTCACTGACGATGCCGTCTCTGTTGGACGCCCTCGCGCGGAGCGGATAGGACATGCTTGCGGCGCACACACGCGCCTTCCAAAGCCGTGCTGCTCCAGGGGGAACGTGGACGTGGTGTATCGCGGCGCGTCGACTGCGTAGGTCTGCGAGGGGCAGGTCAGTATGTGCGCGCGCGCTGGACCTGGGGTCGACGGGTGTTCGAACACGCTCAACACGCTGCACCATCTGCGGGACACACTCACATCGTAGTGCATGTCAAGATGTCGCAGTCGCGCTGCTGACGTACCCTTCGCGCACCATGGACAGCGGGCACGATGTGGCAAGGAGCTCTATATCTGCGGGTCAGTGATCGTCTTCGAATGCCTCGCACAATGATGACATACCTTTCGCATCCATAGATACCGGAGCAAGGTGGCGGAAAGCGCGAGTACGCAGGGAGGGTACGAGAGGAAGGATGCGCGTGCCCGCGTCCGACGCGACCACCTACTTATACTCGGCCTGATTTAGGGCCGCCCTCGCCCTCCCGACCACACCGTGGTCCGTGCGTCGATCGTGCACCGCAGCCAAGACCTCCTCCGTCGCGCGGACACAGCTGCTTACGCAGACGGCCCCCGACGTTACAACAGCTCCGGAAGGACAGCCCGAGTCCGCTGGGCGGCGGGCCAACCACACCACGCCACGGGCAGCCGATGGAGATGGTGCGAGCGGGAACGGACACGCACGGACGCGCCGCGGGTGGCAGAACCACAGATACGCGGCGCGGCGCGTTTCACCAACCGGTCTCGACTCGTAGATGGGGGTTGCATTCGCTTCGGGCGGCCGGCGCTCGGTACGCGAACACACAGGGACCGCCCTCGTTTCGAGCGGACACGGGCGCAGGTATCGCCGCGACGGGCTAGCCTCCGTATTGGCAAGGACACGCTCGTCCGCCTCGGCCGAGACGGACAGGTTGGCAGAGAGGGCAGCGTGCTAGAGGATGCCCTGCACATGGTGCGTCTCGCGGGCAACCATCCTCGCCATCCATGCATGTTCGGTACCTGTAGCAGCAGTGAATATATCTCGTGAGGACACCCCCGCGTTCGTGTATAGTTCTTAGCGCATCAGGCGCGATTACATCGACGGGTGATCGTACGAGAATGCGAAGGAAGCGAGTTTGCGATGTGCGCGTACCTCGGCCGCCTCGCAATTCGCGCGTACCGCCGTCATCGTACTCGCTCGTTGAGTAATGTACACAAAGGGCCAGTCGTGACGACCTCGTGCAACGCCCCATCGCATGCAGAGCGGTCGGTCGAGCGTACTAGAAGACACGTACACGGTAAAACAGTCTCGGTGGGTGCGCCGTAGTACATTGCCAGATTATGGAACACCACAAACGCTTTCGCGGCTCCCAAGTCGCTTCCCATTGCAGTATATATTCTCGGGACCAACACACTGGAGCCGCGAAAGACGAGATCTTTGAATCGACGGCAGAAGGCCCAAAGTTATTAAGATGTGCCATGAATCGATGCAGCGCCGGGGAGAGCCTATGCTACACAGATGGCCAGGACGACCCTCAGCCCGGCAGGGTGACCGAATATGCAATGGAGAATGTAGGTACGCACTGTACTACATTCACGAGTCCAAGCCCGGAAGGATGTGCACAAATATATGCCCGTGTGTCGTACGGACTCCAGAAAAAGGCTGCGAACCCGAACTCGGAGTGTAGTGTATAGTAGTCCCACAGATCGGGACCGTCCCCGTCTAAATGAGCATATTCTATCGTGAAAGACTGCATGTGTTTCGACATTTGTGCTACCTGAGCTCGAGAACAAGACGTATACATTATTTCAGTAGCACACAGCATGTACCAGACATGTGCATGCCATGCGGGAGGGTACTGGAAGCGGCGAGGCGATTCCCAGTGAGTTACACCATGCGAGATCAACTATGCCCGGTCGAGGCCGCTGCCGGTGGAGCCCACTGCTTCCTATCGCAATCAGGAAAGACGCACGCGCATATCAGTGTCGTCATGGATCCAGAATATTTGGCAGGAGTGCTAGGCGAATCGGCGATGTAAGCAAACAGACAGTTTCCGCGAGAGCACGTGTCGATTACCAGACTGCTTGCCGCAGGTTTCTACCGGGTCACCTGTACACTTCTGTGGGGCCTCCGGACGTCTTGGTATAGTTTTTGAATCATGCTATTCAGTGTACCTTGGTGCACCGGTGTGCGCGGTGCTGGATGTTGCGAATTCAGCCAACACGGCGGATACATTCGAGGTAGCGAGCCTTGGCAACCACTGGCACCGACTCGAGCATGCGCTGGTCCGAGATCGAGCGAGATATTTGGGTTCTCGGGTACCTCACCAGATGCAAGCAGATATGAGTCTCCGAAATACACGCGAGGGAAAATTTAGGAGTGTGAGGGCAAAAGCGGACGTCCTGGGTCAGCCACAGTGAGGGCGAGAACGAACGGACAGATCGAGCCACGGCGGCTCTGAACCTCCTTACCAGAATAGGCAGGCACGCAGCCTGATAACCATTCCCACTATGTCTGCTCGCGCACGCACACCCTTGGACGTCCTCCATGACCACAGCTGGTTCGACGACATGGCTGCACATCCCTGCGGCGTTGAGTATTGCTTAGCGACCGGCGCGAGGGTGACGTCTGCCCAGATCTCGACTGCGGGGTCAGCCGAGAGCGCCGGCGGGCATGGAACCGCCTCCGAATCATCTGAGATCGGCGACCGACTGTAGCCGTTCGCGTTTATTCATAAATGGTCCCTAGATTTTTCATCAGAGCGATGTGTATCTTTCCCTGTCAGTGCAGTATTCATACGAGGGGCAGAAGTGAAGTCGGGCAGGAATAAAAGTGTGAGGAGCATACTAAGGCTGCACACATTGCCATTCCTGCTCCCCTCATTTCTGGTCAAATGAGACCAATCAGGGTGTTCGGCCGAGCTCCGAAGAGCACGGCGCAACCAGTGAGACGGCCGAAAATTGAGCGGAGATGGACATCGAGGCCATGCAAGAATGAATCACGGAGCACCCTGAATATTGACATTTCCTGAGTAAAGCCTGATCACGCCGCCCACCATCCGCCGCTGTGTGATTGGTCCAGCGGGAAGAAATGAGGTGATACACTACAAGCGAGCGGGTAGCTAGTACGAGTCCAGAACGAGCGCGATCCAATTGCAGAGCCCCTCGTAACGGTAGCCGCTTGCCGTCACGGTTCACCCTCCCACCGGTGGTGTCCACATGCGGCACAGGACAATCCTGCTCCGTGTCTAGACGGACATCGTCCAGGGCTGGCCACGCACCTGTGTCGTTCGACTCACAGACGTGGCTTGCATCCTTTTCCACTTCCTCGCCCTACTCTCACTTCCCTCCTACGTCCGCACCCGCCTCGGGAAACTCCTCCCTATCACTATAGTGCTACAGGAACGCATTCAACGCCGTACACAGCTCACGGCACCGAAGATCTCACAGGGAACACACATGGCCTGACCAGACCACAAGAGACCATGGTACGGAAGCTTCGGGACACATGACAACGGATCCGGCGGTACGTCAATCTCGCCGCTCGTCTCCAAGGCTCCCCTCATCGTGTGAACACGACAGCCCTCCCAGCATGAAGACCGTGTTGCAAGACAACGGCCAGACGACTCACGAGGCCGCACGAATCACCCTGGACAAGACGCGCACACACAGTGTGCCTCACATCGTGTGGCAGGACGCTGGATGTGTTCGGGGAGCTGGCAGCACTTTGCGAGCACGGCGTGTGCTCGTCACCACGTTCCGATAGCGTGATCTGCACGAAGGTGAGCCTCACGGCATGCACAGCAGCGTGAGCTGACCGATGACACCACCCCCCGCGCTACAGTTCCATCCACCTCCCTACTTGCAACTTGCAGCCATACCACTCACGGCGGTGAGGATTCCAAGACGAGCGCATCCGGGCGCGTGCAGCAAACTTCTCCTGTGGAAGCGACGGTGAGCAATCCTCATCTGCGAGTGGGCACTTGGACAAGCCCATCGCCTTCGCACGCAGCTCTCTGGGGTGTCGATGACGCGAGAGAACCCCTTCTTGTCCGGGAGAGTGCAGGAGCATCTCCCAAACACACTTGCGGTGCACGGCAGGTCAGGCGGTGGGGAAACTTACGGTTGACGGCACCGGAGACCTCGTACAACGGATCTGCGGTCCCGCTCGCCGGTTGTGGGTGCAACACCTACCGCTCAGCTTCGTGCCTGTTCCGGCCCGCGAAGAAGGACGTGCTCGCCCTTGCACGAGCAGCACGAGCGGCGAAGTCACGGTCTCGAGCGGGGTACTCGGAGAAGCTCAGCTCTTGCGTCACTCTCGGGTGCGCTGGAAGATCTCCCGAGCACACGCCTGGAATGTGGAGAGCGAGGCGAGGCAAGCGGACTTACGGCGGGCGACGTCAATGATCTCGTACGCGCGGCCTGCGGATCTCCGGGTCCAAGCTCACAAGTAGACGATGTACCACTTACCTTCGCGGACACGCCTGGAAGTGATCCCACTGCTCCCCTCAGTGGTCCTCATACGTGACATGTTCGTTGCGGCGGGTGGAGGATGTGCCCGCTTCGCGCGGCGGATTCGAGCTGAAGAGCGCGGCACGCGGGCACTCTTAACTCCTGGTCAAACTCGGAACAGGCGCCCCGGGCGCGCGGCGCAGACGACCGTCCTGGTCGAGGCATTTGCCAGTCTCGCCACGGCCTCGCATCTGGCGAGTTGCACTTCCAGGCTATGGCGTCATCTTCGCGCTCGTCGAACAGAACGGACTCTGCACTCACGGCACAAACTCGAGTCCAGGGTGCTGGGGTACCCGCAACGACACCGGTGGCTTGCGTGCGAGGTCTCAAAATCAGCGCTGCGCGGGCTCACACAGCGAAGAATTCGTCAAAATGGTGTTAAACTTACCAGGTGCGCAACATACCTCCGTTTCACGCGCACGGTACTCCTTGAAGTTGACAATGATACTCCCGCAGCACGCACCCACCGTCAAGTCCCTCGCGCGACGTCGTACGGGCACTCCCATCACCTGTCAAGTGTGTCCCGGTAGCGTGGCGTGGAGGACGGCTGCAGTCGACCGAGCTGGCAGCCTTGCCTCTCTGCAGCGGAGGGTGGGTGATTCTCACCTTTCGGCGCTGGTGTTCCTGTCTCCCTGGTCGCGCAGAGTGGACTCCCTGGGCACAAGACCTGAGTACTAGGGCACCCGCAAGGACACCGGCATCTCGCTCGGACCTCCGCGCACCGCCGGATGGAGTGCGAGTCTGCGAGGTCGAGCACTGCGAAGAATCAGTCCGAATGGTACCAGAAGTGTCCCAGGTGCGCGACATACCCTGTTTCGTGTGTACCGTGCTCACTCGGCCGGCCTAGAAGGACGCGGACGTCCCGCGCAGCCGTCGCGAGCGGACAGGTCTCTCGCGCGGGCGCTCCCATCGACTGTCAAGCGTCTCCCGGGAGCGCGGCGCGGCGATCCGTCCCGGCCGAAGAGGCTGCAAATCTCGCGCAGAGCGTATGACGACTCGCTCTCTGGGAGTACGGCATCCTTCGCGCGGCCTTCCTCGAGACGGTGCCTAGTGGCTACATCTCCACGAGCACTGTTTGGGAGTGCGATGAAGCCCAGCGGATGCTCGCAGGTTCTCCTGGTGATACGAAGGCCTTGCGCCGGAGTTCACCCACAGTACGGCAAGAGCCTCGGCCTGGGGCGCGCGACATACCTCTCTCACGCAGCTTCTGTCTCTACCGCAACTTTCGCTGTCCCTGCGGCGCGAGCCCAATCGACGCCGCAAGCATATAGTCATTCTGCCCGAGGTAAGACGGCGAGCGCGGGCCACCGCGAGCTCTCGCGGTCCCCTGGCTAAGCGACGGCAGGGTGAGCGCCGTTTTTGTCTTGCGCGAAATCCGGTGTCTGGCTGATCGTGCGCTGCAGACATGTACCAGACAAACAGAGTGTCGCCAGAAACGAGCCTAGGAGCGAGAGCAAGCAGGCGAGGCAGGCCGTGGTCGTGGTGCAGAGCAGAGAGGCGGTGGGAGGCAACGACGCGACTTGGCCGTTTCGAGCAGTGCCAGAATAGGCGCCCGTTCTGCGCGGCGTGCGCGAAGTGGTTTCTGGGTCGTTCTGGCGGGGGTAGCTTCGCGTTCTTTGAGTTCCCTGTAGTGCGGTATATGTAGTGTATCAATGCGAGTTTTCTGAGACCCCGAGAACGAGTCCGAGTGCAGTCCGAGTCCCCTGAGCCTGAGTCCGCACGGATGCCTCTCTGCTCCCTCCTCCGAGTCCGGGACTCCTCCCAGTGCCCGCTCCCCGTACCTCCTAGTACCCACGCACGGCGTCTACCTAGCCCCCAGAATCCACGCAGAGGACAGAATTCCATCTGGGAGATCTACAAGCATCCGCAAGATACCCCGCCAGCCGAGATCCCCCCTCGTCCGTCCGCGCGAGTCCTTGGCGCCCGCGTCCCCGCAGATCGCGTACGCCTGCCCCGCACCGCCACCACGCACCGCCACGCCGCGCACACACAACTCCATCTCGCCCGCGCCCTCGCGCA